TCGAGGCGGCGGAAGCAGCTGGCGGTCCGGTGCAGGCGCCGGCACATAGAGCCATGAAGGGGCCCAGTCTGGAGCTGGTACTGACAGCTCATAGAACCGCAGCCGCCGGAGGATGCCGAGCTACGAGGGCCACACCACGACCTCCACCTCCAGGGGCTCCTGGCCACCTCGGCGAGAGGCGAGCCCAGGGCTGCTGCTGCTGCTGCAGCTGCTGCGACTGTGACGGCTACTGCTGCGACTGCAATGAATACTGCTGCTCCTAGACACCAGCTCCAACCCTCTTGTCAAAACCACTGTCCCTGCCACCACCACCAGCGCTACCACCACCAGCACCACCACCACGCCCTCCATTGGGGCCATGGCGGCCCCGCCGCTGACGCTGCTGCGGGTAAACCACAGCTGCTGTCTCAGGGGCAGGGGCAGTCGTGGCAACTGCGGCTTAGATGTCAGTGTACGTGCTCTGGGAGGGAGCACAACCCTGAAAAATAGGGACTGCCGCGACACCGCTCGACTGAGCGATATTGCGCTGGCGAGTCTCTATCTCAGACAGAGCAGTGACAAAGGCGGTCAGGGTGAGGTCGGCAGGGTGCTGACTAAGGAAGTGGTCGCGGGCAGTGGCTAAGCGGTGAGGCAGGCGCATGGCAATGAGGTACATGGTAGCGTAGAACGGTGGGGGGAAGGCAGTAAGCTAAGCGGCAGTGCTAGCAGCGCGGTAGCTAGTTTCTAGCGCATGGAGGTGGGTAGCGAGGTCAGCTACTGTAGGGAAAGCGGAAAGATCAGGGAAGAGCATGGGTAGGAACAAGCGGCATGCAGAGGCGGAAGCAGGCGTGGAGTAACGCGCAACTACTGTAGCAAGGAAGTCCTGGGCGTTCGCGACTGCGGTAAAGCGCGGACTCTCAGACAGGGGAAGGGCATGGCTAATGGCAAGCTGCGCTACAGCGTCGCGAGAATCCCAGACAGCTCGAGCGAGCACAGCAGCAGCAAAGGCCTCACTCTCAGCAGTGATAGGGTCAACAGGGAGGGGATCAGGCGCAGGGGTGCGGGGGAGCAAGCCATCAACATGCATAGCCAGGGAGTGTCCATCCTGGCGCTGACCTGTCACGTGCCAGCGGAGGTCGACGAGCCAAACGGGGAAGTCCATCGCGTGCCACTCAGCGTCCAGGTGAAGAACGGCGTCCGCCATCGCGCAGAGTGACATCGGCACAGCAGCCCGGCTCGGCGGCTCGGCTCGGCGGCTCAGTGTGACATCGGCACAGCAGTTCGGCTCGGCGGCTCAGCGGCTTAGCGGCTCGGCTGCACAGCGGCTCAGGGTCACGGCAGCCCAGCGGCTCAACTGCACGGCGGCACAACGACATGGCGGCTCAGCGGAGGGGCGCTCCAGTGGGGGAAGCAGAGCAGGTGGCCGAGGAGGGCCGGAGGATTGCCGGGCCGGTGGGACAAAAAGGGCCGGCGGAGCACTAGGGGCCAGTAGAGCGCGGCAGGACCCGGGACGCGAGGAGCCAGCTAGGGTGCGAGGGGCCGACGGGGGCGCTAGGGGCCAGCTGGGCCGCAAGGGGCCAGCAAGGGCGCGAGGGGCCGGCCCGGGCGCAAGGGGCCGGCGAAGGCGCAACGGGCCAGCGAGGGCGCGCGGGGCTGGCTAGGGCGCTAGGTGCCAGCTAGGGCGCAAGGGGCCGACGAAGGAGCGAGAGGTCAGCGAGGGCTCGAGGGGCTGGCTAGGGCGCTAGGGGCCAGCTAGGGCGCAAGGGGCCAACGAGGGTGCGAGGGGCCGGCTAGGGCGCAAGGGACCAGCGATGGCGCGAGGGGCCAGCTCAGGCGCAAGGGGGTCCAGCGAAGGCGCGAGAGGCCAGCGAGGGCGCGAGGGGCTGGCGAGGGCGCTAGGGGGCCAGCTAGGGCGCAAGGGGTGACCAGCGAGGGCGCGCGGGGCTGGCTTGGGCGCAAGGGGCCGGCGAAGGCACGAGGGGCCAGTGTGGACGTGAGGGGCCAGCGTGGGCACGAGGGGCCAGCGTGGGCGCGAGGGGCCAGCTAGGGCGCGAGGGGCCGGTAGGGGCGCGAGGGGCCGATAGGGGCGCGAGCGGCCTGTAGGGGTGCGAGGGGCCGACTACAGCGCGAGGGGCCGATTGGGGCGTGAGGGGCCGGTTGGAGCGTGAGGGGCCGACGAGGGAGCTAGGGGCCCGCTAAGGCGCGAGGGGCCCGCTAAGGCTCGAGGAGCCAGCTAGGGCGCGGAGGGGGCGTTCGAGGGTGCTAGGGGCATCGAGGGCACGAGGGGCTAGCGAGGCGCGGTAGGCTAGCGAGGCGCGGTAGGCTAGGGCGCGGGGTGGAAGCGGGTGGGTGAACCTACCTACTCATGATTCCATATCAACTAGAAAGAATAATGATACAAGTGGAACAAGGGGGATATATGTGTTCTGGTTGTACCCTCTAACAGTTCAACAACTATCTAGCCTATAACTTCTAAATAGCAACATATGTATAAGTTGACAATGGTATGGTCTGCACCAAAGGGTAAGAGCAAAAAGAGGAGCATGAGTAAACAATGTGGTAAATTGCAAACCAGATCAGGGAATGAGAGACCGAAACAGAAAATACTACAGAGGAACTTACGATTTACACATTACAACAAATGCACTTACATGTAGGTGAATTGGTAAGTTCGCTAACTGACAAAATCAAAAGAACCCAATCGAGAGGACATGCTGTGTAGCAAAGGACAAAAAGCAAGGTGCATAGTGGGAGAGAAAAAAAAACTAAACTGAAAGTGAAAGTTAGGGAATATATAAGGAAAGGTGACAAGGAGAAATGGAAGGGCACCGAGGGTATAACGAAAGGCTAGAGAGGGATAATGGGAGGTGCATGGCGCGAACACCAGTGGCGCAAAGAGAACGGCGACAGCAGAAAGCATATGGGCTAGCTGATGGTACGCTAATGTATGCAAACAAGTGCGCTAGCCGCAAGTGTGCCGGCCGGCAGCAAGTGCGATGCAAGAGATTGGACTAGTTGTGGGAAAGAGAGAGAGAGAGGGGAGAGATGCGCCTAGTTGTAGTGACTCTCACCTGCAGTCGATGGTATGCTATGCAACTCCGTCGCACGGTGTGGTAACGGGAAAATTAATAGCAAAGGAGCAGGAGGGGTAGGATTATAGGAGAACGAGGGACGGTTCTTACCAAGTTGCGCCGCTGCTTGCCATGTCTGCAACCTCTTCTCCCAGTCCATTTCTGCTTCCTACATGGAAAGGCGAAACAGGGAACACATGAGCGAGAGGAGTAAAAACAAGTTCAGACAAGCCAACAGATGTCGAAACAAGCTAACACAAGCCTAAACAAGTTAGGGAAGGCCATTAAAAACCACCACAAAAAGACACAAGTCAACAAAAGCACACAAAACTGACCACAAGTCAAAAAAAAAAAAGGGCGAGCTAAGACAAGAGAAAACAGGTCAACACAAGATACTACAAGCCAACGAAGGACAGAACGATCTAACACAAGCCCAAACAAGTCAGCACAAGTCGACACAAGCAAGGGAGAGTGGGCGAGGCAGATTAAGCTGCGAGAGGAGGAAGGGCGGGAGGACAAACATGTGAACGTACCATGGTGTGCGTCCTATGCTGTCTTCCCTCCCTTCCTGTTCCATCGCCTGCCACGCCGTTGCTCCCTCCATAGCTGTCCATCCACACAGAAGGAAAGGCAGGGGAGGACGAGTCAGAAAACATGAGGTATAGAATATGAAGGGAGAGGAACGAATGGTGGGAAGGTGGTATGCAGAGTCGAGGTGATTGCGGCGAAAGGAAATAGGGGCAGGGGTAAGAAGAATGCGACTTACCATGAGAAGAGCGCAGAGGTAATCTGATCTTCCTTGTTGCCGCACCACCGCTGCTGTCGCCCCGTGCTGTCCTGGCTGAAGGAAAAAACACATATAGCAGGTAGGAGGTCAGTGAGTGGGAGGAAAAGAGAGAGGGAGAGCAAATAGATACCACAGGGCACCACCCCTGCACACTACCCCATAGGCATGGCGTCAGCGTGAAATGCGCCAGCATGCAAGGCGCCAGCAAAAACGCGTCAGCGTGCAAGGGGAGCAGACCCTATCGGGGAAGGGGGCAGAAGGATGCTGATGACGAGCGGACGTCAGGCGGGATATTGCCGATGCCGTCAGATCCTGTCTGATGGACAGCTGGGATTGGCCGGTCCTCCCCCTCCCTGGGCATAGACGGAATTATTTCCCGTCGAAGAGTGGGCGACGTTTTCACCGTGTTCGTTAGTTCTTTCATATTTTTTGGGTGTTCGGACGGAGTCTTCGGATTGGCTTCTGAAAAAACCGAAGGCTTCGTTAGGAGAACACAAGTGCACGGGAGTCCTCAGGCGGTCGGGAATTGGTCGTCAGGTATGCGCGGGGTGGCGAAAATGGCGGGATGTACAGCGATGTACGTCTGGCACGCCATGCAGCGGCAGGATGAACTGTAGCTGTGACGCGGGTCCCGGCGTTTCTAGCAGGCTAGTTACAGGCGATGGAAGGGACTTCAACACTATCTCGGCAATGGGCGGATTCGACAATTTCAGAACGACACGATATCATGAGGAGATGTGGGTGTGCAGTTGTATGGGAGCAGCTGGGATTAACGACCTCGACAGAGTGGCTATAAGCAGAGTGATTCTATCTTCTAGAAGGGTCTATTCCCTTAGGATATGATAAACCTGGTCACCTGATGTACTCTGGAAGTATAACAGCACCTTGTATTGATCGATAGTGCAATCTTTCCTCGAGTCATTCGATCCTGTAACGATTGGTATCAGAGCTTTTCTCACTCGGCCGCGCTCAACAAAGCAGCAGCAGCGGGAAAACCTGCCTCGAAAAACCGCCAGGGGCAACCACTTCAACGCCGATTCTGGTAAGCACCAGCTCCGCGTTTTTTCGAATCACCCCCCCTCCCGCGCGTGTTTTGAACAGGATGGCAACCTTCGACAACGCCGAGGTTACCCAGCAGACCTCGGAACCTCTGGGAAAGATCAAGGAATTATTGAAGGAGTTCCAAGACATTCTTCCTAACGATCTTCCGAACGAGCTACCGCCATACCGCACACATCAACACGAGATCGTGGAGGAACCAGGTTCGAAGCCGACCTTCCGAGCACCATATCGGCTCAGCCCTACGGAGCTGACTGGCATGAAAAAACAGATCGAGTATCTCCTAGCCAAAGGACTCATCCGACCATCTACTTCGCCATACGGTGCCCAAGTGCTCTTCACACCGAAACCGGATGGAAGCCTGCGCATGTGCATCGACTACCGAGCTCTTAACAAGCAGACCATCAAGAAAAAATATCCGATACCACGAATCGATGACCTGCTTGACCAGCTTCGGGGAGCTACGATATTTTCCAAATTGGATCTGCGGTCCGGATACTGGCAGATACGGATGGCGGACAACTCTATCCACAAAACTGCTTTCCGAACTCGGTACGGATCGTACGAGTATTTGGTAATGCCATTCGGACTCACCAACGCACCGGCAACATTCCAAGCCAAAATGAACCACATTCTACGACCACTTTTGGACGAGTGCATGGTGGTGTACCTGGATGACATCCTCATCTACTCGCGCGACATGAAGCAGCACGTTGAACACCTGCGACGCGTCTTCGAAATTCTTCGACGAGAACGATTCTACGTCAAACTGTCCAAGAGCGAATTCGCCCTTGAGAAGGTCCAGTTCATAAGACACATGGTGAGCGCTCAAGGAGTTCACATCGACCCCAAGAAATCGAAGCCGTACGTACGTTGAAGACACCCGAGAACGTGAAGGAGTTGCAACAGTTCCTAGGCTTCACTAATTACTACAACAGGTTCGTGCCACAGTATGCGAAACTCGCAGCACCACTCACGAATCTGCTGAAGAAGAACACGCCCTACAAATGGGAGCCGAAGCAACAGGAAGCCCGAACGCGACTACGTTATCGAAGCTGACGCCAGTGACCAGGCAGTGGGAGCAGTCTTGATGCAAGATCAAGGAAATGGACTGCAACCAGTCGCCTACCTCAGCAAAAAACTTCACGGGGCAGAACTAAACTACCCAATACAGGACAAAGAGGCCCTTGCCATCGTCATCACCTTCAAAGCGTGGAGATGTTATCTCGAAGGACGAAGAACAGCCGTCTACACTGACCACTGCAGCCTAAAATATTTGAAGACACAACCCAACCTTTCCAGGCGGCAGTTCCGGTGGATTGACTTCCTCGAGACACACTTCCACTACGACATCGTGTACAAGCCCGGCCACAAAAACAAAGCAGATGCACTCAGCCGGCCTGCACACGTTGCCGCTATTCAGATCGAAGGGATGAATCCACTCCTCAAGGGACTCTTCACACACGGGTATGCCATCGACCCCGAAATTCCCTTGGCAGAGAAACGACATCTGCTACAGTGGGACAACGACATCGCGTACCGGAAAGGATCAACAAAAATGTGGGTACCCAATTACCCTCCTTTGCGCCAGTTACTACTCGAAGAATACCACGACGTCCTCTATGCCGGACACTTCGGTAGCAACAAGACGCTGACCGGTATTGCAAAACACTACTACTGGCCCCACTTGGCAGAGGATGTTCAGAAATTTGTCACCTCGTGTGATACATCTCAAAGGATGAAGAGCAGCAAATAGAAGAAAGCTGGACTGCTACAGCCTCTTCCTGTCCCAGAACAACCATGGCAAGTGGTTAGCTTGGACTTCATCACCGGGTTACCACCTACCACCAGCGGTCATGACGGAATCCTTGTCGTCATCGACAAGTTCTCCAAAATGGGACACTTCATTCCGACACACACGACAGCACGCACCGAGGAGACAGCACAACTATTCGTTCGATACATCATCTCACAGCATGGCATTCCAACCACACTTATCTCCGACCGAGACCCCAAGTTCACCAGCAAGTTTTGGAAGGAACTCATGTCTCTGCTCGGGGCCAAACTCGCCATGTCATCCGCTTACCATCCGCAGACAGACGGACAGACCGAGCACCTCAACCAAATTGTTGAGCAACTCTTCCGAGCAGCCTGCAAGGACGAGATCTCCAAATGGGACCTGCACCTGCCCGTTCTAGAGTTTGCTTACAACAACGCTACACATGCCGCTACTGGACAGACGCCGTTCTTCCTCTGCTACAGACGCCACCCACTCACACCACAGAAACCGACAACATCCGCTACATTCCAACGTGCACATGATTTCATCACAACCATGCATCAGCTTTGGGATCGGACCCACAAGCGCCTCCTCGACATTCAGCAGCAACAAAAGCGCCAGGCCGATCGCCATCGCAACGACCACACCATCACGGTGGGAGACCAGGTGCTTCTTGACACCCGCAACCTGGACCTCAGCCACCTCCCATCTAAACTTCGACCTCGCTTCTGCGGACCTTTTCTCGTTTAAGCACAAGTCACTCCTGTTACCTTCCGCTTACGCTTGCCAGCTACCTGGAAGATTCCCAACGCCTTCCATGTCCAACTTTTGAAGCCCTATCGGGATCCAAACACGATCTTCGTCGGACGCCAACCGCCGCCGCCGCTGCCCGTCCTCGTCCAGAATGAACCCGAGTACGAGGTCGATTTCGTGCTTGCACACCGCCGTCGTCGGAATGGCACCGTGGAGCTTCTCATCTGTTGGAAGGGTTATGATCCTTCTGAGGACAGCTGGGTACCTGAGTCCAACATGGGTAACGCCCGTCGTCCTCTGCATGACTACCTTATCAAGCAGGTGTTACTTCTACCACCCAGCTTTGAGGGGGGGAAGTGTGAGAGTACGACCCCGTTACACCACTTGGCCTTTCCTTATTTCCTTCCTATTTCATTTCTCTTTTTTCTCATCTCATTTGGTTTCCTATTCTCCCTTTTCCATTAACCTTTGGTTTATCGTGATATTATAATTATATCACCGACCAGGCTTGGGATGTACTGGTGCGCTATATCTAGCGTAATCCTGCCGTAATCCCTTAAAGCCAATAGCCTCGCGTGGCTATACGCAGGGTGATTCTATCTTCTAGAAGGGTCTATTTCTTTAGGATACGATAAACCTGGTTACCTGATGTACTCTGGAAGTATAAAAGCACCTTGTACTGATCGATAGTGCAATCTTTCCTCGAGTCATTCGATCCTGTGACAGGGGTGAACCTGCGAACTACACTGTGCTGATGGAGTGTCCCCAAAATTTTAAGAGTTACTACTGCAGTAGAGCTGAGGGTTTTCACCTGGTGCAGCAAAAGGAGGTTCTGACTTTTGCAGGTGTAGTTTGAAGAGTTTCTGACAGAGGAGGGAGCTATCCAGCGGTCAATAGGCGAGCTTGTTAAAGCTCCTCTGAATAGAAGCGTGTGCACTCCTATCTCTGCGGATTCTCCTAGTTTGTTAAGAAGCTGTGAAGCGGTTTTGGGAAACCTGCAGCAGCCGCGAGATGGGTGAACATCTGCACGGCCAGCTGGCAGGGGTACCAGAGTATTTTACCCTTGGGTAACAAGTGGGCGGAGATTGACAGTGTATGATGAGCATTGACCCTGATCGACGGCCAAAACATCATGCCAAGGCGGTGGACTCCGGTAAACCTTAATATAAAGGGTTCAGTTCATGCGTACAGCTGGTGGAGAAAACGTGGGGGCGCTGCTAAAGGACGCTGTGAGGCGTGGGCATTTTCACGGGTAGCTGTGAAGCAGAGTTACGGTATTTGCTAAGTACCGAGTGGTTCTGACATTTTCGGTGGGTTTGAGGAGCAGTTCAAGAGTTTACAGCTGGAGCTATGCCCGCTATCTTCAAGAGTACGAGCGACATCGACCGACATTTGTGGAGGGTTTTGGTTGTACGGAGCGGAGAAAGAGCAGAAGCTGTTTCGGTTCTTCCCGATTTTTTCGGCATGTACGGACGAAGTAGCTGATGCAGCTGGTGTCATTCGACCCCGGGTTTGGTTCAAGATTTTTGAATGGAGCGCGATTCATATCGGTTACTCTCCATCATCATCGTTGTCAGCCTCTCGCCATCACTTGCTACCTCATCCATTCTCAATACGCCTGCTTTTGTGAACATGACCCCACCTCGCCATCCGCATCCACAGCAGCAGTATCGACGTGAAACAATTTTGCAGCAGTACTGTTGGAGCTGAGCTGGGACCCGCTCGCCAATAGTGTTCCTACTCGTGCATAATTTTCAGTTCGTATGGGCGTCTTCCGGAGCAGTTACTTCTGAGTTTCAAGACACTTGGAGCGGTTTACCCTTCAACAAACTTAGAACTTGGAGCATATTTGGGATTTCTCGTGTTTGGAGTTTTGCAGTGGCATCTTCGAAGCTGAGTATGAGACTTTTAAGCAGCAGTTTAGGATTATCTCGACTACCCTGAAGCATTGGGTTGCCTGGAGTTTTACCTGGGAACTTGGGAGCTGTTTCTTCTTGGAGGGGGGAGAAGTGCAGCTGTGCTGCAATTTTTCGTCTGACCCTTTGGCGTGTTCCATCATCCGTCTTCGAGCATCATTCGTCACCGTTACGCTTCCGCGCCTAATTTCATCACTTCGTTGAAGGAGTTTGCTGACTTTCGTAGGACACGGACGCGTGCTCCCACATGTGACTCGAACGACCTTGCGTTTGATGAATGGGATCTACATTTTATCGACCATCACGTTATTCGGCAGTCATCATGATCATACTGCAACGCGTCATCATTACCCGCCCACACGACAGTTAACTATTCAACAGCATCAGTCATCTTCATCATTTCGTCACTTGGGAGTTTTCGCCATTGCTTATCCGGTCAGCTGAAGAAGGCGATTATCTTCAACGACTCTGATTGATTACGATCGCTGCGACATGTCTCAGCCGTTGGATGGAGTTTTACCTCACGAAGTCTCGTCGTCATTACACTCATCAAGATTCGATGATCAGGATCTACCGCAATCGGTTCGACGCTTTCTGACCATCGATCCCAGTTTGACTTGAAGACCTTGTCAGGCCAGCATAATCATTATACTCCTCACAGGGCTGAAGACTTACAGTCACTTCGGGGATTAACTTAGATAAAATGTTCGACCTCGATAAAGGGAGGGCCTTCCTTTAGAAGGTGGGAGAGTGTAAGGAATTCGATTCCTTACTGGGGCTCGTTACAGCGAGGACACGCGAACCTCTCGATTCCGCAGGCTCGGCCCTTGAATATCGCGCCAAACCAGCCCTCGTCGACCTTTTCGGCTCCAACCTGATCCCGGCTCGCCCCAAACCCATTTTGACCCCGTCACCCTCAGGACTGTCGAGCCCATGACTGGTCCAACCCTCGACATTCAACCCTGGTCAATCGCCCTATATATTGTCTAGGCCTCATTATTCTGTAACATTCTATAATCACTTTCCCCTATAGTATTCTGTGCTATACTCTAATTATAATTCATAACAGAAATCGTCATGTACGATCTAATTGGTTAAGTTACCTGTACCCGAGCCGAGACCAAGTGGCACTTTGGAAGCGCCCTGACTCACCGTTTATCATCAGCTTCATGGCCTACTGAGGGCGTGTGAGATGCCCTGAGCAGACTCAACTCCGTCCTGCCCGCTTCACTCCTCGCTCTGTTGTCCTTGTGAAACAGGTTTGGGATTGGCACGGGGCTTCCAAGCAGAAAATGGGTATCAGGCGATGTATATGATACCCATATCGTTTTCACATCGTACAGGGAGGCTCTATGGCAAACTCTTGTGTCGAACCTCTTCCTAGTGTACAATGTGCCCTGGGGGCCGTTCGTCTGAACATTGCGGAGTGGAGCAGGAAGAGGCGTGCTCGACAAATTTTCAGGGGATTCGAAGTTTCTCGGCCAAACGTAGGTCGAACTTTTTTCGTGCCCGAATGGACAGTCAAGATTCATTATTGTCACGGTCAAGACAGCGGACCTCCGTAAAACAAGGTTGCCGACACGGAACAGTAGAGCCTGTAAGGAAATTCCCTTTTCCTTACTGGGCTCGACTACGCGCGTACGCCCTCGACTCTCGGAAGTCCAGGCCCGGCCAACTTCTTCAGTGCCGAACCACTTCGCGAACCCAAACCTAGATGTGCGGCGATTTCGTAGCTTTCGCCAACCAGGCCGCCCCAACCTATTCGCGTGGTTCTTGGCTAGCTCTATTCGTGCCTATAAATGCATAGGCCCTCATTTGTATCGACACTCTTGAATCACGACTCCATTATTACACTACCTGTTATTACTCGGATTAATTCATAACAGCTGGTATCAGAGCCCCGTTCCTGCCCGCTTAGTCTTCCGTAGAGTAGTCCGTTTGGATCGGGAGAGGACCCAACAGAATAGAGGGTTGGACTGCGATTGGTAGGTGAGCTCGTTAAAGCTCCTCCAACTAGAAGCGTGTACACGCTCAGATCTGTCAGGTAAAATTTCCAGCATGCCTACCACACCGGAAACCTCTGCCCGTCGTACTGTTAGAAATGTAACTCAGGAGGAGTTTGACGAGTTGCAAGCCAGGGCGGCTACAGTGACGACACTGCAGGCCCAGCTTCAACAACACGCCGATAAGTTCGAGTCGCTGGGAAGCGAAGTACAGACGCTGCGCATCGAAAACTCGTCACTTCGCCAGACGCGGGGTGAAACGCGATAGGGGCGGCCTATTACCCGAGACGAAGATGCTGCGAGCGAAGCGAGGGTGTCGGCCACACCTGAAGCAGTTGAAGAAAGTCCACAACGAGCCGCGGGCGGCCATTAAAATCAAACCTCCGATGCCACCGCCGTTCAACCCGACCGAAAGAACAACTACAGTGAGCGGTTGGCTGTCCGTCATGGAAATCTTCTTCACAGCAGCAAGTATAAATGACAACGCATCACGTGTCAACTTGGCTGTGTCGCTGCTGAGGGGACCGGCACTCGACTGGTGGTGCATGCATTTGGACTAGAGAGGAGCCCCAGCAGGGAATCAACGGGCGGTCGATGGGGAGCACGGTCCATCAATGGCTCAGGCAAAACCGATCTTTGGGCTGGCCACGATCCGCACGTGGAAAGCGTGGGGCAAAGCATTGAAGAGCCGATTCGAGAACATACATTGACGAAAATAATTGTCCAGATGTTTCGCATTAATTAGGGTTTTTGGGCTTTCCGACCACTGTACATAAAGTCTCAATGTTTAATGGTGGTATTCTTTGGGAGGGGCACATAGTGGATGTGTTCACAACACTAAAATCCATGATAGTACACAG